TTACATGTAAATAAATAAATATACAGACAAACTTCTAAACGCGGCCACTGACAAGAATATTTAAAAAATGGCAGTTATTCAGAGGTTATTTTGCATGCAAAAAGTTGAAAAAGAACAGTTCATGAAAAAAATTTACTCGGCGTAGTTGTTGGGAGTCGGCCGTTATTATACAATATGTTCGATTATGCTTATACTGTATTATTAAATGATTCCCTTAACGGTTTAAGGAAGTAATTTAAAAATTGTTAAAACAATATAATATAGCATCACAAAATTTATAAGCTTTATAATTATGTAATCAAGGCTCAAGTGAGATGAAATAAGGCCCGTAACCAGTGGTGATATTCGAAATATTTAACAAAGGGTTCGCTAACAGAAAATTTTTCCTTAGCAATTTTTTTCGCTCAAATGGTGCATTAGCAACATTAGCGCAAAAACTGACCTTAAGATATCCATATAAATAAAACAGATGCGTTCGCAAAATTAAGTCAGTTAAAATTTAACATTGTTTATGCCAGAAATATATATTTTTTTTTATAAATAATAAAAAAGAGCGTTCAAAATTGTTTATTTTGTACATATTTTTATATTTTTCATTCAAAATATTTTATAAACATAAAAATTGGTTTTTTTTTAATCAGAAAAAGTCATAGGAAAAGCAGTTAAACAAGAAAAACTTTTCTAAATCATTTATTTTATCGTTAGGTATTATTGTAAAAATAGACAGATGTCATCGTCTTTCTAAATACAATATCTTTCTTACTTCGCTGTTGATAGCCCGAAACGTGCTCCGCAGCCATCTTGTATTTTCTCGCGCACGTGGGATTGTGGGATCTCTCTTATGACTGGACCTAGTTTCGAGAACTCTCTCGAGTCGATCGCGATTGAACCTCGTTTTAGTCGAGATTGGAACCGTCGATGGAGGTTGCACTAGGCGAACAGGGTATAAGGCTCTAGTTTAGTAGTGTTACAGAGTATAATACGTATATTTTAATATATTTTTTAAACGAAACAAAATCACTGAGAAATGTTACGTGTGTTTAACAACGGGTTCGGAAAACTTTGAAAATGTTAACAACGGGTTCGGCCGAACCTGTGCGAACCCGCTGAATATCACCACTGCCCGTAACAAATGTCGGGTCTCAACCATAAAAATGTATGATTAAAATCAATATAGAAAGTTCTGTTTTGCAACTTTATTTACGCCACTTTCTTACATAAAATACTAAATTTTAAGGGTTTTTTTTGGTGATCTGGCCGGAGTTTGATGTATTGCTTTGTATCTGGGCCAACTTATTGATTAATTAATTAAAATGACGGACTAGTTATATTATAATGTACCAGTATATACCCTGCCATATTAACTACATTAAACTGTCAGATCGGTTAACGAGGCAGTTTGCAATTCATTATTTGAGAATAATATCATACAACACTTATAGTTTAACCGGTTGCTATATTTAACTAATGCTAATACAGTATATACGGAAAAAAGACGGGTTGTTTTCATATAGAAGAGAGGAAAACCAGTTTTAAATACGGGTCGATGACATTATAAAAGCATGATTTGAAAAAGTATTATCTAAGCATCGGTGGTTCAGTGGTAGAATGCTCGCCTGCCACGCGGGCGGCCCGGGTTCGATTCCCGGCCGATGCATTTTTATTTTTGTACCGGCACAAAAGCTCAAAATTTTGCTCGTGCAGGATTTTGCGTCCCAGAACGGTAAACTAACGCTTATTGTTGTAGAATACAAATATCTGGGAAATTCGGACGGTCGAATAAACCCGAAGAAATTTTGGGATTCGTCTGTCCCGAATATATCGTGCTCCTTCTCACTTACCGCTCGGCCGTTTCCGTTGTAGGTTTGATCGAAATCACATGAAAATCGAACCCATGGGTATTATAGTCATGTACTAAGTCAAATAAAAAAGGAACAAAACCTGACATATTCTCATCAGTTCATCCAAGAAAAATATGTTAAATATGTTCCGAAATAACAGGAAAAAAATCTGTTATTTCGGAAAGAAGAACGAAATTCCGTTATGACGAAATGCGAACGAAGCCCTTTTAAATAACAAGCAGCTAAATAAACCAATAGCGTAGTCCGTTTCATACGAAACTAAGCAAGCAAACCAATAAAATAATCCATTGTATGAGAAACAATTATGCTATTGGTTCGTTTACTTAATCGCTTAGACATCCACGATACGAGATTCCTCGCCTCCATACAATCGATTTTTTTAAAACTTTCTAAAAATTAATACTTTATATTTATAAAATTCTCAAATTATGCGTTATTAAATAATAAATATTTATTAGCTAATGTTTTGCAAGGAAAAAAATATTTGGAATATTTATAATGTTTGGCTATTTTTACCGTTTCCATCGTCTGGTCGCTTCGTATGTGTACCGTGCAGCAGTGGGTGGATGAGCAAAGTCGTTAAATGGACTGGATGCGATGTTTCTTCCGTAATATCGGAGAAAACTGAATAAATTATTTAAGAAATTAATCAAAATTGTATAATAACTTACGTATTTATAAAATGGTTCGTATAGTTTATTATATATCCGTTACCCGCTTCATTTATGCTAATTAGGAAACAGTATATGTGTGTCAGTAGGTTATTTAATCAGGTTTTATACTTAGCACACGCAGATACACTTAGATTTATCCCTCAATTTGCATAAAATATTAATTAATATATTTATCATCATTACTTTACATATTTTATTCTTTAAAGGTTATATGATGGCAATTTAAATAATGACGATTGCAGTTCTGAATGAGGAGTTTGGACACCAAAATTTTAGTTTGTTATTCCCGTGGCTCTGGTAAGGTCGCAACTGCATCATTCAGAACTGCATTTGTATCTGAGCTAATGGAATTATGGTAGAAGTTACTTTTACTAGTTTGTGTATGGTTGGAGTGATGAGAGATTCTGCTCGGTCGATACTAACCGGTCTGGTTTTTGGGGAAGTGGGGTGATGGGACGGGATAATTCCGTCAAAACTTTTCCCTACTAGTTTTGTTTTTAAACCTCTTTCCGGGGCTTCCTTAAACTTGCTTGGCACTCGAATGTTACCGTTTGCACTGTCGACTTTCGGAACCTTCCTTAGATGTTTCATCCTGTCGTCGATGTTTTGTCGACTGTAAACCTGTGCTTGTTGCGTACTGTTTTTCCAGCCTGACAAAAAAAAGGGGAGGCTCGTTTAAAAGTTTTCCTTTTTTGACAGAGGTGCTCCTTATTTTGGAAAAAATTCCCGAGAATCTCTGGAAAATGGTTTTTGTTGAAGTAATGATGTGTGTGACTGACTTTAAATCCGTAATCTCCCCTATTATCACAATTATCATCCAGGTTAAAAAGGGTTTTTTTGTCTATGCAAATGGTCTTTATGAAGAAAATTGATGTATAGTAACATAAAACTCTTGTGGTGTAAGTACTCTTGTAAGTAACAAAATTACCACAGAAATATCTCGTCTTGCCACCCTATCTCCCATAAAATAGACATGGTTAGTATTTACAGAGTGCAATCTCTCATTGCACTGATAATACAGGTGTATTGTCAGTTACATTATGTTATCTAAAAGTAACCAACTAATAGTCTAGTCTATAGTTTGTCTATTTTAAAGTAAGTTTTAATTTATTCATCAACAGCATCTTATATATGAAACTGTTTTGGATATGTCCTAATTTTTTATACAGTTGACAAAATAAATGAATATAAATCAAATTTCATTTATTTTGCTGATTTGTGAGTTTAATAATCAATTGTAATTGAAATTTTTGAGATGATGAAATTTTAGGAGTTGAGGAGGAATTACTTTAGCTGACTTTGTAGAAATTGTCTAACTTGTGTCATTTCTACTCTGTTTATATTTTATTTTGTTGAGTTTTCTGTATAATTAATTTCTACGTTAAAGTATTGTTTTGTAAAATCTTTAATGCACTTTAATATTGGATTAAATTATGTAAAAACAAAATTCAAATATTTTATTTGAAACATAAATTTTGTGCAAGTTTAATTTATGTATGCTCATTAAATAAGGTTATATAGTAAGAGATTGCTACTTATTGATGAAACAGTTAAAATGTCCCATAAGAATAGAAACAACATAAATTAATACTACATATATTAATTACATAAATACATAAATTATTAACCCCTTAAATGAGTTTAATATTTCTTGACTTTGTTATTTGTATTTTATTTGAGTCTAGTATTTAACTTAATTTTCAATTAGATATAATTTACGGTTGGTAACTATGATACTCGGCATTTTAACAGAATTTTGGAATTTATCAGACAGTATCAAATTACTGACAGATATGGTCTCTTGCATGAAAACATTTGGTTGTTATATTGAATTCAGAGTTGTTTCATATGAATTTTGTACTTTGAACACATCACTGGGCTTTTATTTTCTTTAAATTTTTAATATTCTTAAAGTCTGAAAATGAAAAAAAAAAATTATTTTTAAATTCATTAAAGACAGAAATTGTACTAATTCATTCACTATTGAATAGATTTCTAGTAATATAAAAGTATAGAATTCAGTAGTCATTTCTGAGGTAAAGCAGTTTTTTGTTTACAGTTTAAAAATAGAAGTTATGACCAATATTTAATTTTGTTTGTAATCCTAAGTTTAAATGGAAGGGGGACAAATAGCTACCTGTAAATATTCTGACTTTAAATTTCATCACACTAGTGTTTAGTGACTCAAAGGTATTATTTTATAGTCTTTTGAAGTGGTTTGAAACAGATTTTTATGTGTTATTACAAAAATAAGTTGCAACAAACTTTCAGAGAAATTTTAAAAAAATCTTTGTTAGAAAAAAATTTATAATAATTATCAAAATCACTTTTAAAATCTTATTTTATCTAGTTTTATGTTTTTCTAGTGATGCAAGAGTGATTTAGTGATAAGAATGAGACCAACTTTTAATTTTTGTTGTTGAAATTAATTCCTGTTATTAAAAGAAGTGAAATGTATAAAATGGAATTACCAGAAATTAATTTTATTTATTAACGAGATTATTAATTATTTGTAGTTTTATTTGAGAAATATTTTAATATTTTTGTCTTAAATATATGGAATTATTTACAACTGAAATTATAAATGTCTATTGATTTCCAACTTTGGCAAGGGAAGTGCCTGAGATTACATTTTTTTGATAATGAATAATCCTTTAAGGAAAATAAAAATAAAAAAATAGAAGTATACAAATTATAATTTGTCAAATAATTTGTTTTTTGTGATTAAGCATTAGCTTGTATTTAATAGAATAACACTTAAAATTTTGCATGTAATTCCTTTTTTTTTTATAATTTAAATTCTTTGCTGTTCTGGTTGGGGGTTCTTTTCCATTGTGTAGAATGTCATTACAATGTATTAATTATTTTAAATTAATTATATCCTGGGAAACAGTTCATTTTTTTCCCGAAATTCCGGGACAAGCAAAAGACCAGAAAATGAGAAACCCTAATTTATAAGCTATTAACAAGCTATTAATTGCTTATAAATTATCTGTTAAGAACAACAAAGAATTTAAATTATTAAAAAAAAAATGAATTACATACAATAAAAGCAATTTTAGATTTTAGACAACATACTTTTTAGACAACATATTTTTTAGATATTTTAAGAAAAAACTTATGGCTTTTTTTTTTTTCCTGTTTCTTCTATTTTTTCCATAAAGATTTTAATTAATTTTAATATACCATCAGAGAACTCTATTTAGAGCACATTTATAGGACATAAAATTCTCATAATTAAAAAATGAATTAGAGGAGAAAGCAAAGCAATATTATTTCAAATGGTCTAGAAAAAATGACAGAACAAATATAAATAGTCTCCTCATAACTTGAATAATACAAGACATCAAAAATATTAAAGTATAAATCATAGTATGATACCAGTCGGTTCAATAATAGTATAGATGCTTTAAAAAATAAAGATTAATATATGAAGAATATTAGTTAAAAAGATTAAAAGATCATTTCTAAGTTTTAAAGTTAAAACTATTCGTCAAGAAGAGAAGTAAGAAATAATGAGTTAGACGACTACAGTTTTATATGAAATACCGATAGTAGTCGCAGATTGTTTTCAAAACTAAAATGCAAAAATAGATGATAAATTTATAATCTTTCATTATTATTATTTAAATGGTGTAATGTGTAAACTTTGAACTTTCGCACTAGCATATTTAGTCAAAGAATTAAAAGAAAATATAAATGTCTATTTTATAATATTACTAAAAAAAAAAATTACTAAGAAATTAAAATTGTGTGTATAAGTTATGTAAAATATGAAGTTATAATTTGATTTTATATTAATTTAGTTTTTTCAAAACATTTTAATGTTGACATTTTGAATCTTCTGCAGATGAAATTTCTAATTCTGAAAAATTTAAGCGTGTAAAAGGTCTTTAAAAAAATCTTAGAAATATTTCACAATTGTCTTTTACTTCGGGATAAACAATTATTTGTTAATCTGACTTTTATTTATTTGCAGAGAATGTTAAATATAAATTTGTGAAGTTTCTGATGTCAATTTTGTTTTTATATATTTTTTGTAATGTTGATAATTTGATTAGTTAATAAGTTTTTTTATATTCTATTTTGAGTTATTACATATCTACATTTTAAATTTTATCTGCTACTACAGTTGTACGCATAAACAAATCTTTGTAATGTCTGATAGCTCTTAATGGAAAAAAAAGTAACATTTCACATTGATTTTAAAATGAATTGTGTGTGTGTGTAAGAGATCATTATACACAGTTTTTATCATATAAACAAAATGTACTGATTGAGACTGACACATTTCAAATCACTGCCAAATTTCAGTGCATAAAGATCAATGTATTTAATGTGTTTTGTGTGAGTAAGAGCAACTTCATAAGTTTTTCTTAAAATTGAGTTGTGGTGCTATATGATCCTGGTATTATGCCTCCAGATTTCCTCTTCTGGGAATAAGTGAAGTACAGGGTTTATGCTGGTACCAAAATTAGTGACTGCAATGAACTTTGTATATGCATACAGGATGCTATTGGCTCTATGTCAAGGAATTGAATATTGTTTAGATATGAGAGGAGCATATATGGAGATTTTATAATTGTATAAAAAGTTTGTATAATTGTGTTTATCTTCAAATTGTATACCATACTTCTATTGTAGCTTATACCTAATTTTACTTTCAAAATTCACTCAATCGACACTCTGTACAATGAATGAGAGTGCATTTTTGCTCTTTCAGATATGATTGGCACTCGGTTATATGTTGTCAGAAAAAATCTCAAATAGCAGGATTTATTTCTACAGTTTAGCAAAAATCTAACTGAAAATTTTCTTGTGTAAAGACAGTTTTAGCCAACCAACTGAAGAATTATAACTTACCAGCTGTGATGGATCTGTTGTTTTGATATGTTAGTAAAGTGTGTAACATATTACATATGTTAAATAATAATTTTATAGTTAATAAATGAATATTTAAACTTTAATATATTAAGAATTTCAGCAAATCAATTAATATATCATTAATTGATTTATTTAATCTTGCTCTTCCTCCAAAGCTATGGAAGCAAAGATTGGAGGTTTGCTTAACATAACTGACAATGCATTTGTGTAATAAGCAGGAGTTGTGGGTTCATGTTTTACTCCAGGTTGATCTTTCCTTCTAGAATTTTCAAAATTGAAAGTTAATTTATATCTAATTATTTAACGTCAGATGATTGCTTCATTGCTTGCCTCTAGCCAAATTGCTTTGAGTCCGATACTTTTATTATATCCCAATAAATAAATAATCCAGTGGCTGATTTGATGATGTGTCTTTTTATTGCTTAGCAAAATATCAAGTGTCATTTAATTTTAATTTGCTATTAATTAATTTTTGTTCAATGATTCTTGAATTATTGATTTTTATTTTATTAAACATTATTAACAAACACACTATGTATAGCGTATTTTAATTATCTATTATTGATCATTAGAATGTACCGTTTTGAGTTTCACAAACTTATTTGCTTAATTCAAATGATTATTCTAATGAACAATAACATGTAATTAAACAGCATATAAAGCTAATCAAGACCAATTTAAGGTCTTTATAATGTATTAATTTACTAAATATGATAGTAAAATCACTTGGTTATAAGCTCTCTTGATATTACAGCTGCCTTAAAAAGAAATCTTTTCCTGAAGTAGAATTTAAATATGCATCCTGTTATTGCAAAACAAAATTTTAATGAAAACCACTTTATTTAATTTTATAATTTATTGAAAATTAGTATTTATACAATTGTGAAACATCTATTAACTTTTTTTTTTGTTTCAGGAAACAAATTTCAAAGAATTAAGAAAAAAACATAGAGAAAATATCAAATCATCCGAAATGCAATTTTTATAATGTAGATGTTAATATTCAGTGTTTGAATGTATTTTCTTATAGAAAGAATAATGCTATAATCATCTAATTACTTTCTGAAGCAAAACATGGGAACTGAATTTCATTTTGATACAAGAATTAGACGATGCTACGTTCCTTTAATTACACAGCAAGTGAGTATTATTGGTTACTTGATTCAAAGTAATGACTAGAAATATACGTAGATGCTTTGTCTAGTGTGATTTGTTTTATATCAATTTATTGTCATATTCAATTCATTATTAAGGCTGTTATTCCTTTTAAAATCAGTGATATTTCGATATATTGCTAGTCTTTGTTTAATGTTTTCAATAGATTCTTGGAAATTTTGGTGTAAAGTGAAACAACATGAAACAAAACCAATTTTACCTTAGACTGAATATCGAGTTTTTGCAAACCTACCTTACTTAATTCCCATCTTGTAGAACCAATTTTACTTTTTATAAAGAAAATTTAGCAGCAATAATTGTAAATGATTACAACAGTACTTTCCTCAACAGTATAACAAAATGACATTAAATGAAATGACATTTAATGAAGATTTCAGTAATAATTTAAAAAATTGTTGAATTATGATCAGTTAACAAATTATAAAAACTAACATAAGTAATGTTGTTTGTTGCATAGAATTTATCAATAATAAAAAAAACAGTTTAGTGGATGGACAGATGGCCAACGTTGTTAAGGCATCCACTCCACTCTAAGGATCGGGGATCAAATCTAGATGATTGAAAAGCCCCTGGAATCTTTTGGGGATGGTTTGTTTTGAATTTGTCAGGTCCTGTAAAGGTTTGTTTTGAATTTGTCAGGTCCTTACCACCTGGCTGCCTCCATTCTGGGCCTGAGTAAACCCATGATAGGTATGATTTAAAAGGTCCTCTTGGTACTCATGAGGTGGATTGTCAACAAAGAAACTTAGTTGTCATAAAAAAAAAACTAAATTTTATTTAATTATCAAAATTTTTCTTTAAATAAGTCAGTTTAATTTAAAAATAAATCAAAATAACATAAACAAACAATAACTCACCATCACCTGCTGTAAATCATCAGGCTATAATTTGGAATAAATAATTCTAAATTACAAATGAATCTGGCATTAGAGAGAGGTGTTAGTTGACATCTCATATTAAAATTAATGTAAATTATTTAATTAAATGTGTAATTATTAATTTTAGTACAAGATGGAGTCTAACGCCTCCCACTAATGCCAGATTCATTTGTAATTTAGAATTATTTATTCCAAATTATAGCTCGATGATTTATGGCAGGTGTTTGTGAGTTATTGCATTACATCGGGTTTGTAGGGATGTTTGTATGTATAAATAAACAATAACCAATGTCTGAATTAAATTAATCATAAATTTAACTGTTGGATTTTCAGTATATTTTTAATTAAATTAATTACTGATCTTTTAGAACAAATTCCATATAGTAAATGCATGCTAGCATCTTAGGTTAAGATTAATGTTTATCAATTTACTTTGATGTAAATGAAGCAATACCAGTTAAATTACCAATATTGCTGGTAGAATAATAATTTCTAAATTAATTAAATTCAAAAGTTTCCAATCATTGATTATAACTTAAACTGGTGTGCCAGTCTACCTTTGGATTGCTACAAATTCAATCAAGATTGGATTGTGCAAAGGTAGATGGTGGAATATTCATCTACCTTTCAGCCAAATTCCATAATTATTATTTAAAATTAATGTTTATTCAGAAAAATTAAACAAATGTACTCTCTTAAATTAACTTTAATTCTTACATATATTTTTTCAAAAACTTTACAAAAACTTGTATATAAGAAATAAAAATGCTTTGACAAACTATGTACTTACTAATAGAGTAATTATCAGTTACTGATTCAGTAGTCTGATTAACTATTTTTTCTGTATTGATGATAAAATCATTTATAGTTTAGAACTCACCTGCAGTGTGGAAGATTTTGAATTGTCAAATGTCTTCTTTATTTATTTGATAAATGCATTGAATTATGGCAATGGAAAATTTGTTAGCTTCCAGATACTTGTGTTTAATACAGATCTTGTAAAGATAGTATAGACTGGAGAATCTGTTAGATTTAAAGATGAAAAAGAATTTTATAATTACATTTACGTTAATGAAATTTGTCACATTAATTTACTTAAAAATATATAAAGAAAACAGAGAAAAACTTATTTGTGTTCTGTTTTAGTTTTGCTTAATTTGAAAATTAATTGTAAATTAATCTAAAAATATTTTAAAAATTTCTTTAGATTTCCCTATAAAGATACAAAATTAAATTATTTTCAGCAATATTTAAAATCAAAAATACATTTTTGTTTTGTTTTAAATAACAGAATATTTGTAATTTTTTTTGTTTAATAAATTAAATGAAATTATTTTAAATGATAGTTTTTATATTATCGAAACAACAACAAAGTTATTTCAAGCATAAATTTATTGCTATTTTTAATATATAAGAAATATTAATCTATCCCTTTATAATTTAATTAAGCACTGTTATAAATCATTATATATATTTTTTCCAGCATCGTTTACATCACTTGCATAATATTTCTTTGAGAAATCTTTCACTACCCTCTCATACAGCTGACTGTGATTCAAAAACTGGGCTACATTTTACTCTACATGATAATTGTGTATCACCAGGTAAACAAATTTGATTAACTTTAATTAAATTAATTATAACTATCTGAATTACATTTTGTTTTTAGGTACAATTATTGATCACAAGGAGATAAAATATTCTTATCTTTGCAATCATGTGGTTTTGGGTGATAAAAACTTGATTATCTGATAGAAACTATTAAATTAAATCACAATTTTTAACAAAAAACACCATAAGATTACTGTATTGAGTCCCTAAACAAACACTATATTTATAATCTAGAATAGAGCAAACACACATGAGTAATATAAGAGGATTTGTATAGTTACTAATTTCTGATGACAAATTCTACTACTAAAAATAATTTTTGTAATTTATTTTTAAACTTTGTAATAAACTAAAATCAATAAAAGGAAGGTTGCAAGAAATATATTTTGTGAAGTAACTTAGCTATTTTATCAGATTCATCCGTACACACAAAAATTGCTAAATGGATAATCTAATGCAGATAGTGTAAATGATGATAAATAATTAAAATATGAAACTGAAAACTTATAATCTATTTACTCAAAATTTGTTTTAATTCACTATTTTTATAAAATAAACTTTTTCAGTGCTAAATTATCTTAAAATTGGTTACAGATTGGTTGTAAGAAAATATGTGAAGAATGTTAGCAAAGAAATCTGTGGTGAACTTTTAAATTTGTATTACTGTACAAACAAATACTTTTAGTATTTACAAAGAAAGATACTTTAAAAAGTACAGATATACTAACTTGATGTGTTCAGTAATATTACCTATTCCTAAAGATAGGAATATAATGCATAGAACTTTTTGTTGAAAATTTTTTACTTATACATACTAATAAATAAAAAATTCTAGTGTTACACTTATAAACTTTTAAATATTGCATGGATAAGAGAAATAAACATTATTCAATGAACTATTCTTCTCATATTCAAGATATCAATATTTTAAATCTTAGTTTTAATTTATTTTAGCCAATCAGTTATTTTTCTGTTATACAGTTAAATTTGAAATTCAGTACTGAAATAACTTTACAGTTATCATCAGGTTATTAATGCATCATCCTTGTAATAGTTTCTGTAAATTGTCGTCATGTGTTTTTAATTATTTAATTGTTCTTAATAGAATAATTAAATAATTGAATAAGAATTATACAATGATAAGATGTATATTTTATACTGTTAAATTCACATTACAATAACAGTTTCTTTTTCTGCAAAGTGTTGTCTTCACATATTTAGTGGTTACAGTCAATGATGAATAAAGTATTTGATTAATAAACAGTAATATTTTAGTTATGAATGTTAAGGAAGTTAAAGTAAGTGAAGATTATTCTATATTTATGCATAAATTCTGCATTTGATATTAGAAAAGTAGCTTTCTATTATTTTTTTTTTAGAAGTTTTAACTGAAATTCTGATATTTTCAAATAATATAACATATATATCTACAGCAGGACTAGCAATCATCAATCAAGTACATTTTTAGGTATTTTTATCTGTATAAATGCCAAGTTAGAATTGCTATTAATTTTTGCTATATTATTATGTTCTTAATACTAAAGAGTTATATTTAATACTTCAGATATTTGTCATTTAACAGGAACATGTAAAATATATTTGATGTTTATATGCTTCATTAATAACTGATTGAGAGTTTAAATCCTTAGAATTGCAATAATCTGTCAACCAGACACTAGCATCTGGTGATATGCCCCACTTATTCCAGCATCTTGGAAAGTTTTTAAGATGACTCAAATAAAAATTTTTGAGTTAAAATTGAGTAAAGATAGTAGCATTGTATTGAAAAATATCAATTTATTGTCTGATTTTGTTAAATTTTTTAACAATTAATTGATACATTTAGCAAATTTTAAATATTCTGTATTTATACAGAGATAACCAATAAGTAAATAGATACATTAAATTTCAACAGTATTAACTCCAAAATATACATTGCCATATCTGAGAAGAGTCTTCTGCCAATATTCTCTGGTGGGCCAATGGATGAAATGTCCATTGTTTACGGATGACATAGCTTCTTGTCATGCTGCTAAAAAGACCCAGAATTGGGTGGAAACAAAATATCTGTAAGCTTCTTTGGACCAGTCAGTCACCTGACATGAATCCCATCAAACATGTCTGAAATCTGCCAGATAGTGCAGTGCAATGACTTTCACAAAAGCCTGCTTTCTGTGGAGAGCTTTTAGATTGTTTACATGCCAAATGGTTCAACATTTCACAAACCAAGATATCAAGATAGCAGAACTCATTGTTTCCACATCTGACTGGGTTGAGGCTTTGAAGAAAGCAAGTGGTGGGACAACTAGGTTTTAATATGCATGTGTTATTTGTATCAAATAGATACTGTGAGATAAGACCATGTCTGAAAATAAAGGTGTCTACTTATGGGTTGTCTCTAAGTATTTATTAATATACATACATACAGAGACATTACATAACATATAATGAATGAATTATTTGTTAGAATTTGTGGAATTTTCAAATATTTGGTTGAGATGCTAGTTAATTAGAAAATTATTTAATGAACATTTTTGAATTGTTGTCTGAGAGTTTTTTAGATTTTAAGAAGTATATGATTTATAACAAATTATTTTCTACATATTTTATTAACATTAAATTTTTTTCCTAGCATGTTATAAAAGTGAAGTAATTTATAATTCTCAGGTAAGTTGAATGTTAAATATTATTAATAATTAAGAGACTTCTAAAGTGGCAAACATTAAATACAGTCAACCCCCTATAACACTGTTGATTATTCCATTTTATATGAACTCCATGTTGTACAAGTCACTTAGATTTTACAAATACATGAGCTGTTCACAGCCCGGCACACATTTGTATAACATGGAATTCATATAAAATGGAATAATCAACAGTGTTATAGGGGGGTTGACTGTATACAAATAGACTACAGTTATAATCAAAAAAGTACTGATATTTGAAACAGATAGATTAAAACAAGATGAAATATTTGTTTTCAATTATGTTAGTAATTATATGCATCATTGCTATTGTAAAAACACTTTCATCCATATCAATAATATAACTAATATTACATTAGTATAAAATGTTTAAAGTTCATGAAATATAAACAGGAAATACAATTTCAAAGATAAAATCATAATATATTATGATTTGAAGTTTAACTGTAATTTTTACTGTAAAATTTTATGCTGTATTTTGTAAGTTTTAAATTAATGTAAAATTAATTATTTAGAACAGAAGTGTTTTAGACTAGTGGTTCTCAAATTATGGTCCATGGACTACTGGTTGTCTGTGAGCATTCATTGGGTGGTTGGGTGGCCTGCTAACTGAATTACTTATTTATCCAAAATGTAACTTTATGCTATTAGAGGAAAGAAAATTTTTATGTATGGCACACCTTTTATTTTAGGTTACTGGATAGACAAAATGAATGACATACATCTAAGGTGGTGATTACAGGATAAGAAATGAAGGGAGCATAAGTGATCCACAGATCAAATAAGTTTGTGAATCACTGCTTTAGATTACATTTTGAATGTATTTAATGTTGGATAGGATAAAATAATTTTTTAAATATGATAGTTTTTAACATTTATAGTAGATACTCTTTTAATTCAGAATCCATCTTGGAAGAGTTTTGAAGTATCTAGTTTTCCAGATAATGTGAATAAAACTATATCTTGTATCCTTTAAACAAAAATATTGATATGAGTACATTATCATCAAATCATATTGATCTGTTTTGTTATAAAATAGTTAATAATATAATAAAATATCTAATATTTTATAATAATAATAATTTTCTGAAGTTTCACTATACAGATTTTGGAATCTGTATAGTAAAACTTTAAAAAATTAAAATCTATAAAGATTTTAAATATCCTGATCATATAAATTCTCTTTTGATATGATTAATTTCAGTTTCAGAAGAGACCAAAGAACTCAAAAATATTTGAATAATTGTAAGTATGTTTTATTAGTATGTACAAGACGATTGTATTGTGGATTGCCCAATAAACCATATTTTCCAATGTTTTATAAAAAATATGGTTTTCAAGTTCAAACAAATTTTTTACTTTTTTGTCAATGAGAAGGGCTTAAGCATTTGTGGATATGCTCCTGATTACACACAAATTTATCCATATATTATTTTCAGTATACTATGACTAACACACACTCACACATATATAGTGGAATCTCTATATTCGTCATTAATCTGTTCCTAATGATCTAACAAATATGGAAAATGACAAATATAGAAACAGTTTTTCTCATAATAAATAACTGATATTCAATTAACCCGTTCCATCCTAAAAAAAGATACAAGAATAAAAATTCTGTTGTTTGTAAAACTTTATCTTTATTGTACTCAATAAATACAGTATAGTGATAGAAGGGGAAGAAGAAGAAAGGTTATTATTGTTTAGAAGATATACCATCAATTAAAACATTAGGTAATTCCAATTATGATCTTGTCATATTAAATTCTTTGGCTAAGTTGGAAACACTAGAGAGGTTGTGACCAAAGTTTACATTTTTAAAATGTGAACATTGAACACCGCCAACTTGTAAGCCTAGAAATTTGACAATGGTGTTTGGAACGTCATTGGAATAATACTCGGCAATCCATTCAAATGGAATGCAAGTTTCACTTCAAGCACCACCATCTTGTAAGATGGCGATGCTTGACATTCACATTTTAGAGATGAAAACTTCAGTCACAACCTCTCTACTTTGTCCCTTTTCAGACTTAGCAATAATTTTTTTTATCTCTATTGTTGTTCTAACAGCTTTCCATTTTTGCTGTTTTTCTTTCAGTGCACTTTGTTGGAGCCATTGGAACTTGAGTTTTTGAAAATAATCAATGTGAGAAACCAAGAACACACACAAACGAGACTGATTAACTACAGCTAGCTGCCATAGTGTTGCCAACTCAAACTTCAAATTTATAGCTAGACATTTTAATAAAAATATTCAAGTCATATTGTTTCCATTAAAATTGTTTGATTTTTATAGCTAGATAGCATCATAAAAATAACTAAGCCATTATAATTTAGGTAATTTGCATAGCTAGATTGTTTATAAAGCCACTAAATCTAAAAATTAGCACTAATATTTACACTATAAAATTAGCACTAATATTACAAATTTTTAGTGGCTAAAAAAATCTAAAAATAGCAAAAAATTAGCTAAATTGGCAACACAAAGCTAACACAGTTAGCTGATCAGTGTGAGCATGAGATTGTAGCACTACTGCCGATGTTGGGAATGATGATGAATACAAAATACTGATGAATATGCAGGGAGAAAGTCATCAAAATGGGACAAATTACAAATATAGAGCTTGATGAAGATAGAGGTTCCACTGTAAAGTACAAAACATAAATTTAATAGTGTATTCAATATTGAAATTATATCCTATATCATTTACTAATCTTATAATTCTTTATTGTTATTTGAGAACTTAAATATTCATATTTTTACAAAAAGATGAATATATAAATTACATAAAAAGAGAAAATTAATTTCTAATGTGTTCAGGAACAGATTAAAAATATCTCCTTTTCAAATTACTAGAGTTAAGCAAACAAAAACAAAACCATTAAATACCAGTAACTTTACTTTAACAAAAACTTTGAACATTTTTGGCCTTTTCCAAGGCCTGGCTGAGATTTTTTAATGAAACAAATTTCAAAATGGAATGCTAGAACGATAATACAGTAATACCCCGAACTTACACGATAGGTGGGACAAGCGATAACCACGTAAGTCAGAGTATAATTTCTCAATGTGTGTAAAATCCAAGTCGGATGTATGTAAGCTAATAAATGTTCTCGTTAATCTTATCTCGTCTTTTGATTCATTCATTGTTACAAGAAATCACCACATAGTCTCTCGAGTCTCCATAGATATAACAAACACAGAAATAAATAACACAAAATAAATTGTATCTGTGTGTCAATTCTGCACGACACGTCTGAACATGTAAGTTGAACAATAGTGTGGAGGGAATGAGTAATCAAGAGTTGTGTGGTACTCAAACAAAAGATGAATCGACAAGATTTGAAGATCGCGTAACTCTGGGTTCGCGTAAGTCGAGGTATCACTATATTCAAAAATGTAAAGTTTTCATTAATGTTAGTGGTATTTAAAGTTTTGTTTTTGTTTGTTCAGGAACAGCTTTGTCAAATTAATAAACCCATCTAGACAGTTGCGAGTACTCTATAGGTTTTATAACATTGTACATAAATTTTAAAATATTGGTGATTAGTCAAAGACATAATCATAGTATGAAAAGTAAATGCTTTTGGACCTTTAACATTCCATTTCAATAAATAATTGAACTTCTCAAACTTTTTAAGCAGCATTATTTTTTTTCTTCATACAATTTAAAAATGGAGTTGTTTCAGGACAGATAAAATCACAAGTAGTTATATATGTAAATATATGCTTTTGTAATTTCTGAAAAAAACTTGATAAATTTTTATAATTATTTATCATTTTGATTTATTTACTAATACACACTTCTGGCAGTGTGTATTAGTAATATAATTCCATTCAAATTGTATGAATCATTAAATAACATTTATATGCTACTCTTAATTATAATACAAATTCATTATAATCATTTCAGTTGTGATGGTTATATTTTACAAATGAATTATTTATCTTAACTGAATATAAGATATAACAGTCAAAGTTTGGTATCATAAGAATGGTGAAGTCTTCTGTTTAACTGAATGGACTGTGCATTTCAGTGGTTTATCATATATTGGGGAACAAGTATGTACTTTTTAAAAACTATAAATAAATATAAGATATATTTGAAATTATCTGATTAAATTATAATAGTCAATGATTATAATATTATTATTATATTGTCAATTAAAATTGATCTGTTTTTGTTATATTCTTATAAATAAATAATAACTAGGATCAAGTTCATTGTTTTTAATGCCTGCAAATTGAACTGAGTGGGATTTTTGCTTAAATCTGGACTTTATTTAATGTATTTCAAAATAGAGGTGATATCTGATTTGGTGGCTGCTTTTGGAAACTCAGTTCCTTTCAAACTGCTTTGAAAGGATTTAATTCAGTTTGTGAGCAATAGTTTTTGAGCTATTCAATGTTGTCAGTCAGTGATGTTTAGGAATATACAAATGAATATAGAGCTGTTAAGCTTGAGTTCAATCAAAGCCCAATGATCTTTGTAATGAATTGGGCTATTTTCTGCTACAATTAATCATTAAATTCTAAGTAATTTGGTACTAGTGGTAGATGTTAAGCTCCATCTCTTATTAAATTTAATAATTATAATTAAATTATTTATTTTACAATTTAATTAGGTAGGTTTGAATTAGTTAATTTAATTACATAGTTTAATTTAATAATAAATTATTAAATTAAACTATACCAAATTGTTTGGCTTTAATATCATCAGGCTTTGAGATGTTTATACTATATATGCTGGAGTTTATACTCAATTGTCACATTAATTTGTTTAAAAACTTGAGGAATGTCAAGACAAAATTGAGTGGTGTGTGTTTATGCTTGTAAACAGAACTTGAACTGCTGTATGCAGTTCATAAGCACTCAATATTCCAGCTTAAATCTATGGCAGAGTTTTCCTTTGGTAGTTCTCAAGGACATTATCTGATTAGAATTCCAAATGGTCTACAATATTCAGATCTGGACTTGACATCCATATCAAGTTTGGTCAATATCAGTCAAGTGGTTTCAGTGGAGTTTATTTAAATCCAATGACATTTGAGTGAAAAGAAATGAGCTTTATTCATTATGCACACTCAGCCCAAGAATTTTTTTAACATTGACATTTCTACAGTGAATTTAAAATTAAGTCTGGATTGGGTATACAGGTCATAGCCACATGCTAAAATTTGCCAATTCAAGAAGCTATTTCTGGAAGTTCTGACATTTGTTTCCAAATCTGTCTAGTTTTTCTGGTTACTTTTTGAGTGCTAACCTGATTTCTGCAGATGTTGAAATGGGTGTATATTTCAGAATCCGTCTAATGAAACTATGCATTTTGTGTAATTTCCAATGGCTTATTAGCATATGGCATAAATCAAAACAGCTGAATATTTCCACACTTCTGTAAATTATAACATGCAGATTACTGAATAAACTTGTTATCAATAGCAATTTTCACATATTTTTAAGAATTTTTGGCTTGTTTTTACCCTGCTGGCACTACAGTCTTTTTTTCATACTTATGTAGGTTTGGCCAGCCCCACAATAGGAGAGACTGAGTGGTGAGGGACAGGACTAGATATATCTTGAACTTACTTTCCTTGATAAATTTCTAGGTTTGCTCATCCAGATTTGATCCTGGATCAAGTGTTAGGCTAACACCTTGATCACTTCTTCCATCCAGCTGTCACATCTCAGACACTCAAACTATGTAGTCTATTTATAGCTTAAGAAAATAAAATAAGATGTTATACATTATACAAAATGCCTAGTTTTGTTACAGATGAAGCATTCATCTGCTTTTAGCATCTGCAGGAATAAGATTAGTATTTTAAGAGGTGATCAGAAAAACTAGACAGATTCTGAAACAAATGTCTGTTACAGGTTGTACTAGAGATTCAAGAAATGGCTATGCATTTCTTGAATTGGTAAATTTCAGCATGTAGCTGTGACATATATCCAATCCAATCATAATTTTAAATTCACTGTAGATTGCAATGACAACAATTTAACCTTTATGGATATAAATTACAGATAAAGATATCATTGAAAGATATATAACATTAACTTTAATCTCAATATATGTTACCAGTTCAAACACTGTTATGTTCTAGGAATTATCACATCCACACACTGTAATTACCAGCTAATCAACAGCTTTATTTTATTCAAGTGGAAAAATTGTTGACATATTGAGATTAAAGAAATGGAATAATAAGGATAAATCATACTAACTTTTCACTAGATAACTACTAAGCTAATGTCATCAGACTCTTCTTTCGTGAATGGTCTTCTTCTGTATGATTTTTTGTTTTTTCTATTACCTATTTTAAAATTAGCCTTGCTGTGGTAGGGAATATGAATAAATTGATGTACTGTAGATCTGTTTTACACTTTGACTTTAATATCTCTATCTGTGAAATATCAAGCATGACATCAGCATAGAGAGGGAGTAAAAATTGGAGAAAGATTTGACAGGGAGAAGGTACAGTACATAAAGGACTTAAAAGTAGTGACATCATATTTGAATGATTCCATTAGCAAAAACAAATTGGAAAGAACAAAAATTAGAACAAACTAACTTTTGGAATGCAGTATTATACTTCCAAACAAATACAAAATTTGAGTATTTGAAATGTGTTCTAGAGACATGAAATTCAAATAAAATACAAATTAAATTCATTAAATATTAGAAATGAATAATTTTAAACATTAACAAAAATTGAACAATTAACAAAACACCCCCTTTCCTTCCTGAATGATTTATATATTTTCAGTGTGTTTAATACTTTAACTGAAACAATGTGTATTGGATAAGTTGCTTCTCTTGCAACTTGACATAAATATCTACTTCTAACACAACATGCAGTCAATATAGTTCTCTCGTTTACCTTTTTTGATTGTATACTTGGTCTCTGACCTTCACTTGTAAAGATTGTGATGTAGAGTCAGTGTATTTGAGGGTGTATCCAAATTGGATGTGTGTGACACCCTATAAATTCCCAGAATTTGAAATATATCCAAGTGGCTCTTATCATTTCTGAACAATATGAAAACCATGGAGTTTCTTCTGTATGTGATCCCAGTCATCATCTCATATAAATACTAAATTTTTGTTATAAGATTTGTCTTGAGTCTCTCTATACTCTTGGATTGCCACTGCTGTACATTTTTTCCTTTATTGTAATATTTGTTGATGACACTCTGAATTAAGCAGTCTGTATAAATATGTTGCCTTGCTATACTTCAGAAGCATGGCAGTACAGCTTTCCCTTGATAGTCCGACGGTTTTTAATCCGACATGCTCAGTAGTCAGACACATCTCCCATCAAGGTACCCGTCCCCGTGAATCTTCCCACCCAATTCTTACTCGATGACATGCATTTCGTGTGTTTTCTGTGAGCAGTTCTGTTCGAACAGTTGGAATAGGGAATATTGTAGGTTACTGCTAGCAAAACAATGCCAAATATGTAATCACTTTCAGTAATCCGGATACTTTTGTAATCCGACACCCCTTTGGTCCCATACCATGTCGGATTATCAAGGGACAGCTGTACTTAGAAACCAGCTTAAAATTTCCATCTTCTCATGCATTAAAACATATTGATTAATTACTTGACAATGTAAACCCTATAAGCCTAAATGTAATTTTTGTTTAAAGTTTTATTTTTAATTCTTACTATAATGTCTGATGTATATATTCACTAAATTGTAATAAATCAGGTATATCTTTATTCAGTGTTAATTTGTATTTGATATATACATTATTGATTACAGAATTAAATATTATTGGTTTTAGATAATATATGAATTTAAATTACAGATTCCCAAAGAAGGGAAAAACTTTAAATCAAATACATTACTGTTTGGAATGGTAGAAGGATATTATGGGAGTAAAGATAGTTTTCAGGTAAATTTTGTAATGAATTTTTTCAAATAAGTTAGAAAAATAAACTTTATATACTGGTTTATTCAAAACATTATTTAGCATTGGCAAGCTGAAGAAAAATGGGAAAATCCAGGATATTACATGGAAGTAGACCCTTCTATTGTTCATACATCCTATTCAGTAAATACTTTAAGAAGGTAAATAATAAATCTCATTTCTCTTTTTGTTTAACAAATTAAAACACTTTTGAGTACTGATGAAAAAAAATATCTTAATCACATTCACAATAAAGGATTCAAAAGTATATGTGGTTATTACAGTTTAATAATTTGGATGAATAAAGGTCCTGCAAGTTTGTTCTTTCTCTGAGCCAATAAATGAGCTTGCTGTGGGTATTCAAATCATATTACTAGAACTTACCAGTAGGCTCAGCAGTGGTAATTTTGAATGCTACATTCTAACATTTTGCAGTAAATAATTAATAGAAACTATTATTAAACATGATGCTTATCTAACATAAAATTAGAAATAACATGTTCATTATGTTTGATTAATCAAACTGTCCACTTAAACACATGTCCAGATTAAATCAAAAAAAGACACAAACATAAAGCAATGTTAAAGGGCAGTTATAATTCCTGAACCTCAATGATATTTTGTAATTTACAAACTGTTTCCTGCTTGTTCGCAATTTTATGTTCAATATGATATAGAAAACAATCCGATCTTCATCACATAATGCATTTTTGTTGGTGCTGTTGATACTCACTATAGATACAAAGCATGGTGCACATCTGCCTGATCTTGACATGGTTTAGGACAGGGTTGTCCAATCTTTTTTCCTAATGGGCCAAACAAATTAGAAATTTTGGTATATTCAGCAGGCCACAAAGGTAATTTATATAAATGTGTTTTTAAAAAGTTCAAAATGTGAATATCAAATTTTAATAACAAATATATATTACAAAAATATTATATATATTTAATATTAAGTATTTAGTAATTTATATATATACAGTAGAGCGTCGTTTATCCGAATCAATTGGGGACTGGGCTTGTTCGGATAACCAATTATGTACGAAAAAATATATTAATTTATCCCGTGTTGAAATTTTTCTCCGTTGCATGTCGCTTTTTGTTGAATTTTCGTCGATGTTAAGCCTAATGAAGCCTATTGTATCATTAAAAATTATTTTTTTATTTTGTACAAACAAAATAAATACAGTAAAACCTGTCTATGGCGACCACCCACGGTTCCTTCAAAAAGTGGTCTTTTAGACAGGTGGTCGTCAAATACAGGTGGTGCTGTAATACCGTATTTTCCGTACGTATTTTGCGCACTTTTGAGCCATTTCTATTAAGCAAAACTCGAGATGAGCAAAAATAAGCGAATTTTTTCAACGATATGGCTATATTGGTATTGTATTTTATTCTTATCGGATAACCCGATTTACAGGAGTCGTCATGATATTATAAGACAGATTAAATACCAATATTTTAAACATTAATACAATACTCACTTTTTCTGGATTATAATGCACATATTATTCCAACTTAATTAATTCGACTCGGTTTTTTCGTTCGCTCCTCAGTTACGTGTATTACGTCATCGATATACAAGCGCGTCCTATCTCTCCATCACTTTGCTTTTGGTTTTCGTTAGTTTAATCTTATTTTAACTTTAAAAATACTGTATTTTTTAATATTTAATATTTTCTTAATTAATTAAGTACAATAAGAAAAATTATTAATTAATAATAAAACGATTTTATTATTTTTTCTCATTATACGATTTCATTACAATCGCGGAATCGAAAAAGGAAGTAAAACTGATTTTTGCATTAATGCGTTTATTGTTTTTTGAATATTTTGCCTGCGAAAATTACTTGGATATTATTTTTCTAAAAATATCGTGGAAATAAGGTAGGTTGATACAGAAACTATTTATCGCACGTGTACTGTATATGAGCTTCAAAATAAATAAATAAAAATAGATTTTATCAAACGATGAGATCAGCCGATTAATTGTATCGTGTACAATATTTTACACCCCCAAGGAAAATACTGTAGGTCTAGGGTAAAATAAATTTTGTTTTCCCACAGTTAAACTTCGCCGCTAATTGCTGTTGTGATAACTTTAATACGATCTTCTAACGACAGCACTTTGCATTTCGGACATTTTCCAACAAACTGAAATGAATTTCCTTTGTTGCTAGACTAATTTATTAACACCTGCACCTAATTTCGAGGGTGGGAGAAGTGCCCGGGATGGGTTCGAACAAGAGTTTAGACTAATTTATTATATTAGGAGGGGGAAACGTTGTTGAGATGGGTTCTTACAATAGTTTAGACCAGATACATTCGCGAAAGTGGTCGCTTATTACAGGTGTTATATGTTGTTTCGGACCAAAAATCGATGCCCGCGGTCACGTTACACAGGTGGTCGTTTAATACAGGTAACTTATATGAAGACACTATGGATAAACTATTCCGTGCCAGAATTTTTGCTTGTTTTGACAGGTGCCCGTCGAATGCAGGTGGTCGCCTAAGCAGTTTTCACTGTATAATGAAAAATATAAAAACAATAAAAAATTATACTTCAGAAGTTAATTTAGTATCAAAAACATAAAATATTTGAGTAGCCAAAGACTACAGTGCCACAGCACTGGCGAAAATTTAAATTTGTCGACTGGAATTCCTTCGGATAACCGACCTTCGGATAAACAACGTTCTACTGTATATAAATTACTAAATACAAAAAAATACTATATATATATAGTATTTTTATATTTTATATATGTAATTTATATATATATAAATTATACTCTCACAAAATAAAAATAAATTCAATGCGATTTTTGATATTGCCTTCCTTTTATACTGCTAGTATGTAAGTAAATGTAATTTTTACATGTGCATTCCATGAATTAAATTATTATCACATATATTCTTTAGGAATATTTCTCTTCTAATCATTATGTCAGAAGAAGTAAGAGTAATTGTTATATTTATGAACTAGAGAGAGTTATTCTTAATAGATTAATATTTGAATTTAGCATAACTTTCAGTTAATACATTACAACTTTTACAAACTTTTTTGAGTTGAAATTTGAAAATTAACTTTTTTTAAGTCAGAATTGATTTAAAAATTGTCAGAAATTAATAAAAATGATCCAGAAAATTTGCAGCATATAAGCAATTTATAAGTGAAAAATTTTAATACTTTGATTTAATTTTGAAAACAGTAGTAGTAATTAAATTTTGACTATTTAATACAGAAATTTCAAAACTGTGAAGTAAGTTACTTTAAATTGTTTAAAGAGCTTGAAAGTTTATTTAAGCTCCTTAAGCAGTTTTCAAGATTTTATGTAATTTTTTTATATGTTTTATGTTTGTTGTTGTAAAGTTACATGTAGGCAGTTATATAGAAGTGTTATGTCACCCCGATTGAAAACCCTGGGTTAAGCTATCAGCCTGTTGCTCTGGGGTCTCAGAACAAATATAGACAAATAAAAAAAATCCCAGGAATTTTTCAGGTGGTAGTCCATTCAGATATTTTAGGTCCCATCCCTTACCACATGGCTGTCCTTTGTGGACCTGGCCAACCCTATGATAGGCTTGATTAAAAAGACTCTTAAACCTACAGAGCAGAAAGAATAAAAAAAAGGCAGTTAAATTTTGATATTGCAAATGGATATATCAAATAAAAATGCAGGAAATATTAAATATAACTATTTATATAATAAAAATATTTGTAGCTAATTGTCAATATTTTCTTAAAATTTACATTTTTATATTTTCAAATTATCAAATTTTAAGTTTAAAAGTCATATTTTGACTATCATTGAACTTAGATACTTTATTATATCATTACTTCCATTTTGAACTTTCTGTATTTTTCACTAGAATCAGGACAGTCGAAAGAGCTATCGTTCAGACCCAAGCTTCGGTACAAAGGATTCGAGCCAAGATTGAAGAAAGATTAAAAAGTACAGGAAATTTACAGCTTCTGCAGTCAGAAATAGAATTATTAAAATTGAAAATAAGTATGCTACGAGCAGAACTTTGTACACAATGCAAGAGGATCGAGAAGCTTCGGCAGCAGAAAAGAAATCTGGATCAGCTTGGAGAAGGAAAACGTAAAATTTTTTAACATGAAATATTGATTAAAAATTAGACTATAAAACATTTAACAAAATTAGTAAATAAGAAACATATTTTTGATGAAACTAAAAATGTTTACTAAATTATTGATACATATAAACTGACAAGTGTCAAATTTTAATGAATTAAAAGGTTGTTTATAAAATTTCATATAAATTAATATGATTTGTATTTACAAAATAATGATTTTGAGTACTTTTATTAATATCTAGTCTAGAAGTGTGTTAGGGCTATCTTTTGTCTTCCAATCTTCCTACGCTACTGCTTCGGTCCTTTTACCACTTTACAGTAAGTGGGCCATGACAGTTATATATTTACATGAAATAGTTCACAGCTATTATATATTTACATAAAACAGTTTGCGACTGTACAGCTTAACGGGAAGTAGATCACGACCACAACACATCCCTTAGTTGTTATGCAGTTTATATTTTTACTTCTATAAAATTTTATTAGCACATTTATAATAAATTTTCAAATTAAATAAAACATTAAATCTCTGTTTTTTTAAAAAAGGAATAACAATTTTAAAGAGTTTGGGAGTCAGTAATTTATTATACACAATTATTACACAGGTCTCTTAATCTGTGTGACTTCCCAAATAAAACTTGATGTAAATCTGTTTTACTTGAATAAAATTACAAATACTTTAGATTGTTTAATCCAAGTTTAACAATTTACAGAAGTTTTATTTTATAAAATACTTGCCATTCACACCTAGAAAGTTCATACAATGTTGTAAAATGTTGGAATTTCTTAATATTGTTGGAAATTTATCTGAATTTTTGAAAAGTTTTATATATAACACTATTTTAATTAACAATTTTAAACTCTGGAAATCTTTATAACTTTGTAGAAATTTCTCTGACTTGTCATTTACTGGAATTTATATTTCAATAATTTCTTATTAATTCTGAGAAATATTGAAATCTTTGTGAACAGAAAGTCTTAAAACCAACAGATTGCATATAATTTTACAAAACAAACTTAAAAAATAATTAAATTTTGTTGCTTATCATTAAAATAATAATTAAACTGGTATTATTAATGGAGTGTTTATAGTTTATCATTTTAATGAATTGCTGTTTAAGATAAGAATCTGAATATGTTTTACTATAATATAATAAAGAATCAAAACATTTATTTCTATAATTATAAGTCGCACTTTATTATTGAATTACACATTTTTCAAAACTGCTTTAACCCACTTTTAGATCTGAATACAAAAAATTAGAATATAATAAAATTTTAAAGAACAAAGAATCAGAATTGTTATAATATAATAAATTTTAACTTGTTTCAGGTTCAGATTTATTAGACAGACTTCAGCAATTACAAAAAGATAAGGAAAAATTAATAGAAATGCAAAAATATCATACCGAATCCAGAGAGAATCTTTTAAAAACAAATGCAAAACTTTTATTCCGTCAAAAACAATTAATATCTGAATTATCCGACATATATCCAATGGTGCAAGTAAGTAATGTTTACTTAGAAAACATTTGATAGTTAATTTTATCTAATAGAATAATAATACAGTAGAGCCTCAAAAACTCGGCCTAATGTGGACTGAAGGGTGGCCGAGTTTGTGAAAATGCCGGGTTATCGGGAATGGGGTTAAAAAAATAAGTATGAGTGTTTCCTCAGAAAATACTGTACTGTACTTGTATGTATTGTTTACTTGAGAATACAACAGAGAATAAACTGCCCAAATACCCTTAAACAAAGAAAAAGTACGTCCTTTATGAAGGCATAGAACCTTTACTACATGAAAATAAAAATTAATGAATACACTGTACAGTAATTTACCTGATAAGACAGACCTCAGAAAAATACTTTGAGGCATAAAGCTGTCTTTATCATTAAAATTAATTAACTAAGGATTTTTTTGCCCTGCCAGGGTGTGGCCGAGTTATCCGGAGTGCCGGGTTATCGAGTGCCGAGTTTTCGAGGCTCTACTGTAATAATATATAAATTTTAATTTCTTAATAATCCTTACATAGTGAATTTTCACAACTAATTTTTCTATTTTAAATAAACATTATTTGAATAGTAAAAAAGTCTGCTTCAGTAACAATAAAAGATTCACATTGAATATATTCCGTTTGAAAAAGTATAATTTAAAAGAACGTATTGTACATCAGTAAATGATTCCTTATGTTTAAATCTGTCAAAAATAAAACTTAATGAGCAGTATTAATTTATCATATCATTACATTTTGTAAATTTTTAAAATTCTTTTGAAATAACTTATCCTCATTACTATAGAGCTTGTGAGATTTGATTCAAGAGGAAAAAATTTTTATACATAACTATAGTAAAACTTTGTTGTAACAAGATGAAAGTATTTGTTATAAAACTATATTTTTTCAGGTTTGATATATTCATTTTGATGGCAATAAAAATTGCATTTATTTGTGGTAGTCTTTTGCAATGATAATAAAATTTTTGATGTTAATAAACTGAATTTATATATGAAATATTTAAATTTTATTTTCAGTTTCCTGACAAAAAGAGTTTTAGTATATGTGGTGTTTTTTTACCTGACTCTGAAGATTTTGCAGGTATCCATTGTTGTTGGTATATATTTTTTTTATTTTTGTAAGTGTGTTTCTATGACACTTAAATACTAAGCCACCGAATCTATTAATAAATGGTACCAATATCAGATATTTGAAGATTATGACTTAGTAACTCCAAATCAGAGTACAGATAAAATTTATTAGAATTATGCATTAAAATAAATGCTTTATTTATTCAACACGATGAAGTGTGATATTTACATGACACTAGGCTTTAATTGAATATTTTCTTTAGTATATTTTTCTTACACTCTTATGTTTCATTTGTTTAGCCAGAAGGCCTGGTAACAAAGGTGTTTGGCCTGCTGCCAGAGTACCTTTCTTGCCTCAGACTACCATACTGACCAGGGGCGGACTGGCCATGTGGAAAATTCCACATGGGCTGTATACAATTTGGGCTGTTTTTTTCTAAATATGTACGTGATGTACCATTTGGTTAAGTTTAATTTTAAAAAACATTTATTTTTTTTTGTTAAGTAAGGTAAATTTCAATTTTTAGGTATAATATAGGTATATGTGTAGGCCTGTATCATTTTACCCGGCCTACCCGTATCCGAAGTTAAATTAGTTCAGCCGATCTGAGTCAACTACATTAGCCCAATTAGGCCCAAACAGAAAGCATGCTAGGAGAAAAATAATCAAAACTACCTTCTAAACAGAGAAAATTGGTCATTTGTTTACATTGCTAGAAACTGTTCACCACTCCTATAAATCTTAATGCTAAACTATAAAAATGCAAGTTATTAGTTTTGTACCTAACCACCAAAGCAATGATTGTAGTCATAACAAATTTAATGGCCACTTATATTATTTCCTTTATTTTAGGCAAGTAAAAAATGTTATTCAATAATAATTTCTCTGTATTCCAAACGATTTAATTAAAAATAATCTATTTTGTAGTGTGAGGCCGGGACCTCACCCCCTCTCCAATGGGAAACTGGTTGTCGAGCTAAAGCTAATAAATCGATGATTTATTTCGTAAACAGGAACGAGTGTAAGACGATTTAATTGTCGCATTCCCGGACCAAATTCACACGTCCTCGATCTAGATCAGGGAAGGTGGGAGAGAGAGCAACCGGGGAGAGTTCGACTGTCATCTTACAGCGAGTTCAAAGCACATTAGACCAAAATTTACGGGACCGTCACTAAATATTCCTGAAAACGCATTTCAAAAATTAAGCAGTATTTTAATACAGTTTAATCCAGTAGCTACTCAACACAATATTATTTCAGAATTGCAACATTTTAAATCGTCATGGAATATTTTAAAGGAAAATGTCAATGAAACTTTTATAAAATTAAACGAAAATGAACATTCTACTGATGATCAAGTAGAAACTAATAAAGATGCGATTTTATCCTCTTACTGCATTGCTTGCAAAAATTGCTCTATTTGTTGTTATAATATATTATTCAGATATAACATGTTAAGTGGCGCTTATTCTATACTTGGTCAAGCATACAAATATCTGCTATCTTTGTCTATAACACAAGTGTCCGGTGAACAAAGCTTTTCTATGTTAAAATTAACTAAAAGCAGGCTAAGATACTTATAGGTATCTCACAAGAAAATCTAGAAGTTTTCATGTTAATGTCAGTGGAGAAGGATTTTTTAAACGAAATACATTCTGATGATGTCATTAATATTATTGCTCAACAAAGCAAACTTCTAAATAAAAAATTAATATTGTAGAATATAGACTTGTGCTTATTGTAATTTTTGTCAATGTTGTATTTTGAATATATTTAAATATAAATAGAAAAAAATACATTTTTTTTATTTGTGGGCTGGGCTGGTAATAAATTTTCATCACAAAAATTTTAGGGCCAGTCCGCCCCTGATACTGACCCAGAATGGTAAAACCTGCCATTCTGGATGACCTGGGTCAAAATTCCTGGGAATTTTCCATGTTTTGGATATCGGGGCCCATCCTTCACTACTTTACCATTTCCATTATGGGCCAGGCTAAACCCATGACAGGTATCATCAAAAAAGACCTCTTGGACCCACCAGTGGCCAAGCGGTTCCATTCCCTGAACACTGGTAGTTCAGTTGTGGGTTCACACCTCACCAGGACAGGATGGCATAGTGGAGTTTTCCAGGTTTTCTCCACATATCTAACACTTAAATTTATCCAGTTATCCTTAAAAGACCTCACAGAAGGCTTTTTCCCTAGGCAAATTGCTCAAGTGTTGCATTGCCATAATTAACAAAAACAAACACAAAAAGAACCTCTTAGTACCACAAGGCATAATACATTAAAATAAATTAAAATATTTATTAAACTTATCTAAGTCAACATATTCAGTTATCCTTCTTATCAGACAGTTTGTAAACTGTAAAACATTTTGTTTGCATTTGATATAAATTTTCATATTCTTCAGTTTGTAATCAATAATAAGCATGCTACAATTAATGATGATATGCTCTAATTTTTTCTTGTTTACTTCAAGCTTAAAATTTTACTTCTGTATGCATTAATTCAAAATAGAATTCATAATTAAACCTGTTATTTTAATTGAAAATTTTTATATAATATAGTTATGAGATTTGGAAAAAAATGGCTTTAAACAGGAAAATAGCCAAAACTTTAAACCTGTTTTTATATAAGATTAAGTTTTTTTGCATTTTTCTAACAATCTGGGAATGACTTTTAATTAAAATTTAATATTTTAAAAATTTATTTAAGCCATTTAATTTTAGACTATTTACCAACATGTGCTAAAATGCATAAATAGAATTTTAAAATATTTTGAGCTATTTTTATACAAAATTACAATTAATATTTGTTGTTTATGGTATCTTTAATACAGATAAAAATTTATTTTTTAGGGAGAGATGAAAAAATGTTATCTGTGGCATTAGGATATGTATGTCATATTATTACAATGATGTCACATTTTTTAAACTTGCCTCTTCGATATCCTGTACACCATTTCGGTTCACGTTCCACTATTATTGACCACATAACTGATAAAATATCAATTAAAGAGAGAGAGTAAGATTTTTATTATAATAATAATAATAATAAAATAAAGTGTAATAATTATAAATTTTATAATGCAGACGAATTTATAATTTGAGTTATATTTGCAGATTTCCCTTGTATGCAAAAAGCAAATCGCAGATGCATTTCAAGTATGGTGTATATCTTTTAAATAAAAACATTGCGCAAGTATGAATGACTTAATTATTATTTGATACATTTTAATTCTATTGTTGTTTTAATTAATTGAAATTATTTTCTAGCTTCGACACTATTTTAATCTAAGCACTCAAGATTTGAGAGCCACCCTTCCTAATCTTCACAGTCTTATTGAACTTAAATTAAATGTTCACAGGTATTTATTTCAGTTAAAAATGAGATAAATTTTATTTTTATTTCTTCTTTATATTTTAAAAATAGTTTATATTGAATTTATGTTAAGACATTTATTGTCCAAAATTCAATAAAGTAGACCCTCAATTTAATGGAGTAATTGGTGGAAGAGATGCCTGCCATTGCAAAAATTTGTTAAATCAAATGTGATTGAAAAATGTATAATAATAAACTTAAAATGTACACGATATGTTAAAATGTTGTTATAATGTGTAAATATGAATAAAATAGTAATACATAATACATTCAAAAAGTTTGCGGAATATGTCTGCATGTAAGTGGAGTGAGAGCAACTCGTACATTTCTAAATTCTTGGTGACCATACTGAGTCACGGTGCATGAGACAGTAACATTACAGTTGGTTTGCAACATATGCATCCATTTCACAACATGGTGAAAGTGAGATTTCAGAGTAAAAAATGCCCAGTATCAAATTAAGAACAACCATCAAATTTTGAGTCCTTTTGAAGGAGATGCCCCAACAAACTCTGGAAATGTCATCTGCAGTTTACAGGTTCAATCTCTTTTCCTGCACAGAAACATGCATGAAAGGATGAAAATTTGTCAATGCAGACGAGGTGATTGCCACTGTGAAAAGTACAGTTCAGACAGTTGCAAGTGAGGGGTTTCAGAAGTTTTCAAAAAACCATATGATTACTGGATGAAGTGTGTTGTTGCAGAAGGTGAATAATTTGAGGGTGGTGTTGTCTAGATCAGTGTTTTTCAACCTTCTTGAATATGCGACCCCTTTACAAGTTAAAAAATTCTGGCGACCCCCCCACGGCCGTATTAAAACTATGACAGTGATTTTATAAACTACGTATTTAATTTTCTTTCTGTTGAGATTTAAATATCGATCAAAAAACTAATTGTACTGTAAAATAAACAGGCACAGCCTTCTCACTGAAGTTGTAGTTTCTTTTATTGTAGTGTAGGACCTACAAACACTTGGCTTTTTCTTTTACCTGCGACCCTCAGTGCATGGCTTTGCGACCCACCTGGGGGTCGCGACCCACAGGTTGAAAAACACTGGTCTAGATATATATAGTCAATAAAAAATGTGATTAAAAATCTTTTCTGCAAAGTTTTTGAATGTGTTGCACATAATATACAATAAGTAATTTATACCAATCAACTGACTGATCCAATCTTTTAGCACATTGCACTTGCAAATAAAAAAGATTGTAAATTTTTCCTGTAGGATCACCTTTTAGTCCATTAAATCAAGGGTCTACCATACTATAATAGCTAAAACAAATCAAACATTTTTAAAAACATATCTTGCACATTTTAAGCTCATTATTATTATATATCAAAATATCTGTTAGTTACTGTGTGAAAGTTACACACATCGAAGCTATCGAATTAGAATTATTCAGAATTTCTAAATTTCAATAAAACAGATTACAAATATATATAGATGATGTGGGGTAATTGTTACACAAATAAATTACTTTTTGGATTTAATTGTTCTCATTTGGATATTGAATAGGAGCATATGTACTGTACAGGTACATATGCTCCTATTCAATAATCTGCTCCTATTCAATAATCTGCTCCTATTCTATAATCTGGCATAATTGGGATCTGTAGGGTGCAGAAAAGTGACTTGTCACATAACTGATACACATTACCAGACAGCTAACCATCTCATCTTACCCTTAAAATACCTCGTAAATCAGTACAAGTTGGTCAAATAAAGAAAAACACACATTAAATGAAGTTTCTTGTCAAATTATCATACTGTACACCTGTAACATTGAGCACCCTAAACAGTGGTGGTGGAAAATTTGAAATTATGCTAGCTGAAATTATAGTCTGCATGGCAAACGAGTAGACACAAGTCAGTCTGAACAGGTCTGTCAGACGAAAGGGGTGGAAGAAGACAGTGAAAATGGACACATGGATCTGGTCTCTTTTAGCTGTTTTATTTTAAAAATATATAAAACTACTACTACTACCCTTTCTTTCATCTGACATGGACCCCTTGAAGATTGGATCTTCAAGGGGTCCATGTCAGATGAAAGAATTTACTCTTTCTCTGCACGGACTGTAGTGCTGGATTAGTAGTGAAATCGGATCACTGATTGCTAGATTAGTGACAGTTGTCCTGTAATTCATACAGTTTGGCAAAATTAAAAATATTTATTTTTGTAAGTATGTTTCTATGGCACTTAAATACTAAGGCACCAAATCTATTAATAAATGGTACCAATATCAGATACTTGAAGATTATGACTTGTAATAAGTCCAAATTGGAGTACATATAAAAGTTATTAGAATTATTTATTAAAATAAAAGCTTTACTTGAATATTTTCTTTAGTATATTTTTCTTACTCTTAAGTTTCATTTGATTAGCCAGAAGGCAAAGATAGCAAAGGTGTTTGGCCTGCTGCCAGAGTACCTTTTTTGCTTCAGACTTTATGATACTGACCCAGAATGGTAAAACCTGTCATTCTAGGTGACCTAGGTCAGAATTCCTGGAAATTTTTCATGTTTTAGATGTCGGGTCGAATGGTGTATCTTAGATATAATTAGACACCTATCTTAAATATTTATAATAATAAACAAGCACTATGTCTGGAATCACACTATTATTACTGTTTTATTAAAACATTTTTGTTTAAAACTTAAATTTTCCGAACATACACAATTTTTTTTTTTGCCTAAATTATTAAAAACTGGAATTTATAATATGAATTCTTGAAATTTCAGCGAACAATTGATAGGAATACCAGCATCCCTGCTGTACTTGCCCCCTTCGAACGTTTCACTTACTTCCTCGTATTCAGCCAGTCTGCAGACAGATTCGGGCGTTCAGACGTTTCCTAATGACAGTTTCGGTGTCGAGCTGTCAACAAACACCGCGAACGAAACACTGTCCGACAAGGAGAACACACACAGCCAAATGATGGAAGAGCTAAAAAAGGAAATGGAGGAAATGATACCAAAGAATGCATCCGAAGAGAACATTCCTCCAAAATTAACCGGTGTTGACATCAACAGTGCAAACTTGAGCTGTTCTCTGGACAAGGGCCTCAACGATATTAAAACTTTCAACCAATTGCAGGCGAAGAATTGGAACAACAACAATATAGAAAGCGGAAGACTAAAGAGCAAAATCCGGACGCTAGGACAGGGCCATTATCACTCGAGCGTTCCCAATCTGGCTGCTAGTATGTCCCATTCTTCTCTAGAAGAGGAGGCGCTCAGCTCTGGAGACGAGAAACACCACCGTCCTCCCCCTCTGGCCGTCTGGACCATGGGGGGTTCTCGTAACAATTCGGACGAAGAACAGGCCCAGGACAAGTCGAGCGACTTGGAAATCGATTCGGAAAAGTGGAAGAAGGACATCTCCGGCCTGCACGATAGCAGCTTCATTCCCCAGTGTGACGACGACAGCTACGATCGGTGCAAACAGAAGTTGTTAGATCTAACGGAGTCGGCATTCAGCACGGATCTGACCACCCGAACCAGCCAATTGGCACTGAGGACTGGAAGCTTTCAGTTGCAGAGAAACAGGACTTCGACGAGCAGCTCGCTAGAATTGGATTAGGTGAATTAATTTTACATTTCGTAATTTATAGTAGGCCCCATATTGTGTATATTACATATACAGTCGATCGTATGTATAAAATGCATATCCGTGTTCATATTTTTAAGCTTCCGTGAAGCTACGAAACCCGGCGCTCTCGATCTGTAGATTTTAGATGCCAGGAGGCGGTTTCGATATCAAAAAACAAAGAATTTGGCTGGTAGAATCCCGTGTTAATGCGGGAAGATCCTTGGTTATTCCTCTTTTGATTTGGGAAGAGCCACAATAAAAAGGGTCTTCCCATATTAAATTGGACTTCTTCTTTTTTTAATCTTTTGGTTGTAGATATTTCTTGTTTAAGTTCGTTTTTGGTTCGAATTCTCGTTCGATCAGGACATTTAATTCTACTACACACTACTTTCGATTACATACTACTTCACAATAGAGAAATTCCAAGTACTTGATTGCTTACTGTTCTCTCAATTGGTTGTACAGTACCTACGTTCCTTGGAACCAAGCATAAAATTGCTATCCAAGGAACATACAAACAATTGATAGAACAGAGCAATTACGGTTCGTAATGTATAACTAGAGAAGAGATTCGATTTTCTACTCGAGAAGAGAAAATAACCCACACATTCCACGTTAAATCGATTCGTATTTTGCCACCATTTGCCGGGGTTCGGACTTCGATTTAACGACATCTCGGACAGGTTTGGCTCCCACGTTTTCGAGACTCTTCATTAAGAACGGAAAGAATGAATATTAAATTTATATGATTTTCCAAAATTAATTCGAATAAAAAAAACGATAGTATTGTTAATTATATTGTTTTCCATTGTTGTTGTTAATTATAAAATTTAAATTTGTATTTAAAAACTTTAAGTTCATTTTTTAATTAAAAAAAGTGAATTAAAGTAAATAAAATTGGTCTCGTTGTATTTATTCAATTACAATAAAATTAAATTAAACGTTGGCAGCGACGTCATACGAATTGAATTGTGAATTGACCAAATGGCACGTGTTTAACGGATAGAATTCGATTCGTATGACGTCGCTGCCAAC